CAAAACGACAAAGCGCAAGCCCCTGAGTCTCTATCCCTGCCCTCTCTGGTCGCTATCATCTCAGACTGAAGGTGACTAGACTCCTTCCTCCTTCCAAAGGAGCCCCAGGAAGCCCCCGCCTGCAGAATCTCCTCTCGAGTTCCACTAGCCGCTCGACTGTCAACTCCTATCTCCACTTGCTCTTCTCAAGCTGCTGGCCAAACGGGGTTTTGCAAATGTAAACCAGATTACACCACTCTCCCAACCGAAACCCTGCAGGAGCAGCCTGTCTCCACCCAGTCTGGGCTTCTCCCATCTTCCCCAGCCCACCAGCGGCTGTCACACTGGCGGAACACTGTTCCCTGAACATGCAAGTCCGGCTTCTCTCACTTTAGTTAGGATTCTGCCCGGTTGTTACTTACCCCAAGTGACCAATCCTACTTCCTCACCCTCCTCCCTCTTCCACCACCCTTTAATCCCAGCACTCGGGAGGCCCGCCTCTGCCCCTGCCTCTGCCTCTCTCTGCCTCTGCCCCTGCCTCTGCCTCTGCCTCTCTCTGCCTCTGCCCCTGCCTCTGCCTCTCTGCCTCTGCCTCTGCCTCTGCCTCCCGAGTGCTGGGATTAAAGGTGTGCGCCACCACCTCCCGGCAAGAAGAATCTTAAAAAGGTACTTTTTCTCTTTTTGAAAAGAGTATGACATTAAATGGCCTGAACCACCTGACTTAGAAAGTAAAGGTGCATCACCACATTCCTAAAAGCAGCAGCCATGGCTCCCTGCCATCTTCACCCTCTGCTCCGTGACTCTGTCGTTTGCTGTCATACTTGTCTCTCGATGGCACAGGCTTAATGACACAGAACTATATCTATTTCCTACAGATCCAAACACAGGACTTACACACACAATACTGTAAATGCTGGTTTTGTGTTTTCAATGGGCCCAAGAGTAGAATCAATCATGGACAACAGGGGCTGAACGGGAACACGGAAGAGGGATGCACCAGGAAGTGCTGAAGCGGGTAAGAAAGTCATCCCACCAGGCGGCGGTGGTCATGCCTCTAATCCCTCACTCAGGAGGCAGTGGGTGGATCTCTGTAAACTCAAGGCCAGCCTGATCTATAGAGTGAGTTCCAGGACAGCCAGAACCCTGTCTCAAAAAACAAATAAAAATATCAGCAGACCCTACAAATTTAGTAGAAAAATTCAATGTTACAGGCTCAGAAGTTAAGAGCACTGGTTGCTCTCCCAGAGGTCCTAGGTTCAATTCCCAGCAACCACATGGTGGCTCACAGCCATCTGCAGTGAGCTCTGGTGCCCTCTTCTGTAAGGGAGGCAGAACACCGTATATATAAATAAACCTTTAAAAAATAATAAATCAATCTCTTAAAAAGTCTTTTAAATAAATCTTAAAAAAAGAAAAGACAAAGAAATCTTAAAGATAAAAACAAAAACCAAGACCATCACTCAAAATACACCCTTCAGAAAGCTGCCCCTGACCGACCTCATGATCCCGAAGACTGTGAAGACAGCTGCCGGGTCTCTAGAAACTCCTCGGGCTGCCTGACCACCTTAAGCATCATCCACAGAAAAACAGCCAAGTTACGGAAACACAAGTTCCATTGTATGAAAACTGAGACCTGAGACACAGCATTTCTATATTTTTCCAATTCTGAATTCCAAACAGACTCTGTAAACGTCCAAGAACTCCATTGCTCACCTATGCCCACCAATTGTTACCATTTTCCTTGATTCCTTTATCTTTCTCTTTTCTGTTATCTCTACACTTACTTAAGTCACAGACCCAACTCCTTGATCCTCCAGGACATACTGTCCTCTTACGGAGACATTCTCTTACAGTCAGAGAGCAATTCCCAAAACCAGGAAATCGAGTACCACCCACTAGTCTCCAAACCTCAATTGCAGCCCGCTCTCCCCAAACATTCCTCAGCAGCCTTGTTCTCCGCCTCTAAGACCACACTGCAGGGTTTGTCTTCCTGTCTCAGACACTCAAGGTCTGCAGCTTGTCGGCGAAGTTTCTGTCCCGCCTGGTCCCACAGCCCTTCAGTCCCAAATAAACACACAAAGGCTTATGTTAAGTATAAACTGTTGGGCCTATAGCTCAGGTTTCTTACTGGCTAGCTCTCTTAATGATTAACCCATGACTATTATGTATTTCCACATGGTCTTGGCTCACCAGTGAAGCCCCGTCTCCTTGGCAACTAAAGGCGTCTCTCTGGCGAGTCACTCCCTATGTGTCCCTCTCCCCAGCATTCTCCTAGTCTGGTAGCCCTGCCTATCTTCCTGCCTGGCTATGGCCAATCAGCATTTACTCATCAACCAATAAGAGAAACATATATTCACAGGACATCCCCCATCAGCAGCTGGTACCCCAACCTGTGATCATGACATGGCCCCTCTCTGTAATAAAGCACAGTGTTCCATAAGGTCCTGCCCTGGGCTCCGCCCAGTACTGCCACACAATGGGACTGAATGTTACCCATTTTGGCAGAAATGGGCAGAAATGTATTTTCTCCTCCATACATCACACCAGAAGTCCCACTGCTAGAGACATACACTTTGGCTATTTGGTTAGGAAGACATCATGTCTCACCTTTTGATCATCAGATGGCTTGTGGGAAGGTCCCACACACAACTGCTGCCCACATTTTGACGCCTACTGAGGATCTCTGCTTGAATCACTTGGTACTGTGAAGACTGCAAAATGCTCCTCATGGCTTCCACTCCTGACAATTCCCTGGCTGACATCAGTCAGGAATGTCCCCTGCAACCCGTATGTTTACTTGACTACCCGAAGGGTTACACTGCACTCGGCTTTCAGATTTAGTCAGATTGGTAAATGGGAGCTCCTTCCGGCTCACTCCTCTGTCCTCCAAGAGATCCGTTTGTCTGAATGCTTCCTTGCCGCGGGGACAAGATGTTCCATGTCTGTACGTCCCCCCATGAGACTCTGGAGGGAACCCGCGCTTCTCTGAAGTGCTAGGGCTATTAGCAAGAGGAGGTTTTTGGAAAACATGATTTCTAGAAAAGCCTATGTCACTGCTGCTGAGCCATCTCAGCACAAAATAGGACACACATTCTTATAAGCTGTAGTTTAGAAAATCATATCCCGTAAGAAAAGCAACACCTAAAATAGGACACACATTCTTATAAGCTGTAGTTTAGAAAATCATATCCCGTAAGAAAAGCAACACCTAAAATAGGACACACATTCTTATAAGCTGTAGTTTAGAAAATCATATCCCGTAAGAAAAGCAACACCTAAAATGTACAAATGTTGCATTTGAACAACCCAGATAACACAACCACCACACCAATATACACACACAAATACACACACACACACACACACACACACACACACACACACACGTTTGGCCTTGTTTTTTATCTTTTTGGGTGCTGCCTTGGTTTTGAGGGAGGAGGGTTGTTGTATTAGGTTTTTATTTGCTTGAGAACAAACTTAAAGTCGGATGGGCAGGAAGGGGAAATGACTGGAAGAACTTGGGGGAGGGAAGAATATGATCAAAATATATTTAAACTTAAAAATTGTTTTAAATAAAAAATATAATAAAGAAAACACTACATAAGACAATGAAGGGTCAATTTTTCCTTTTATACTGAGTAAAATTTCATTACACAGCAAGCTATTTATATAAATCTCTCAATTCCATAAATCAAAACTGTAACTTAATCATTCCAGGCTTATAAGTCACCAGACTTTTTGGTGGTGAGAGTAAGAGAATCTAGGCAAAGCCAAGAATAATTATATTGAAATCAAAAGCAACAGGCAGTTCTAAGCATTTTTGTTCTAAGATTTTTTTTTTTAATTTTCAAGACAGAGTTTCTCTGCATAGCCCAGGATATCCTGAAACTCACTCCACAGAACAGGCCAAGCTGGTCTCGAACTCACAGAGATCCACCTGCCTCTGCTTCCCGAGTGCTCGGATTAAGGGTGTGTGCCACCACCACCTGGCAAGTTCTAAGATTATTGAAAAATGTATACTAAAATTAAATTAGCAATTTGGTCAGAAGAGAAAACTGAAAGGGATTAGTCTTAAAGAACAAATTCTTCTGCCTTCCTTCACCGCCATTAAGAGTGAGTGGGCATCGCGGTGCGTGACTTCACAGGAGAGTGAAGCGGGCTGTCCTGGGAACACGGGTCACAGTATTAGGTGCTGACACTGCACAGCACATCCGATCTAGACAGCAATCGCAGGCAGGTGCAGAGCACCCCAAGTCTGCTCATTTGCTCTGCAGCCAGACTCTGAGGGTTTAAGCTAGCCAGAATTTACTAAACACCCGCGGTATCTCCAAAGCTAAGTGGCCCTCCAAGTACAGCTCTGGCTCTCTCCCCACCCTGTACGGACCACACGGTGCCGTTCTTCTGGCACAGTCCTCAGGGACCTCCCCATGAAGAAATCCAGTGACGCAGTGTGGGTAGAGCACTCAGCCCTGCTAACGCAATACTGTAACACGCTCAGGAATCCCAGCACTGGAGCCTTCCACAGCAGGAGTCTCTGATGCCTCTCACATCACTAAAGGGTCTCATACACTTAGTCTGCTTCCTGCCGTCCGTAAGAATTCCAGCGTCCAGCACTCAGGAGGCAGAGGCAGGCAGATCTCTGTGAGTTCGAGGCCAGCCTGGTCTACAGAGCTTCCAGGACAGCCTCCAAGACAATACAGAGAAACCCTGTCTGGGGGGGGGGGGGGGATCCCAGTGTCTTGAACATTAAAAAAGGAAAGAAAGAAAAAAGGAACTCTAACATAGTTGGCTATGGAGCGTCTCCCTTTAACTGTAAGCATCTTGAAGACAAGGACTCTTTTTTTACCCAACTGTATGCATCTTGAAGACAAGGACTCTTTTTTACCCATCACTGTATCCTCTACTCCTATAAACCTAACGGTGCCCAATAAGCAATGCTGAAAAAGTGAGATGCAGAAGCAGAGAATTGAATGAGATTATGAGTTCGTGAACAACATGACCGGGAATGTTAGAGTCCTTACCTGGTAACTAACTGCTTTCTTCCCATCGCTTCCAGTATGAGGTAAGGTTAAGGGTCCCGATACTATCCAAATGTCTTCAAATCTCTCCGTCAGCTCACGACAATACATTTCTATTCTGAAAAACATATCAAATATGTTGTATGTTCGCAGGCACACACGTAAGGAGGTGACAAGCCACCCAGTCCTTAGGAAAGACACCAAGACATCTCATTTAAGATATTAACTTAGGGACACCCATAGTGGCACACCTTTAGTCCCACCCAGTACCAAGGTGACAGAAGCAGTTGGATCTCTATGAGTTCAAGGCTACACAGTGAGACCCTGTCTTAAAAAAAATTAAAGCCAGGAAGTGGTAGTACACAACTTTAATCCCAGCACTCGGGAAGCAGAAGCAGGTGAATCTCTGAGTTCAAGACCAGCAGGGTCTACAAAGCGAATTCCAGGACAGCTAGAGCTATACAGAGAAACTGTCTTAAAAAAAAAAAAAACAAAAACTTGAAGCAGTCTTTTGAACCTCAAACTATTAAAATATATATATATTTCAAATCTGGCATGATGACCCACACCTTTTATCCCAGCACCCATGAGGCAAAGGCAGGAGGATCTGTGTAAGTTAGAGGCCAGTCTTGTCTACATAAGAGTTCCAGGCCAGCCAAAGCTACACAGTATCAAGACTATAGCTATTCAAGTTCATCCCATCTGAAGCTGAAGGTAAGATTCACACTGAGACGTCTGTCAATGTCCTACACTTACCTGGAAGAGTCAAAAGCTAACTGCACTTTCCTAAGTCGTGGCTATTTCTAGAACACGATCATGAAAGACTGCTGGAACCAAACCATCATTCTGTTGTCACATGTCACCCGAATGTGTCTTCCCTAAAAGGCGAAAGATACTAGGAACAATGAACTCTTCCGTTCTGGCAGCCCCATGCAGCAGCTACCTCTAGGGGAACTATCTACACAGCACGGCGCTAGGGACACAGGTGGAGGGTCACAACACAGCCACCGACATGGCAGTGCCAGGCACTTTTTATACTGCACTTGGATGAGATCTGAAGGAGACGACAGTACTTGCTGCCGTTCCTCTAAGTTTCTTTCGAAGTACAGATGCCCCATTGCCGGGTGAAGGTCTCCTCCCTACAAAGACCTCCCTCAGGAGAAGAAATGTAAAAGGCTCCCCCACAGGTGTACAATCAGAAATACAACACGGGAAGGGGTAAGAACAGCACCCCAGACCTTTAGCAAGTTGTAAGGAAAAGCTTTACAAGGGACTGAAAGGATCCATGAGTTAAATCTGAACCTTAATTGGATCCCAACAACGACCAATGAGACACTCGGGGAAATGAACACTGTGAAGTTGGTACTAAAGAGTTACTGTTATTTTTTTTAAGCGCAATAGTATTGTGGGTTACATTTTTTTTTTTTTTTTTTTTTTTTGGTTTTACGAGACAGGGTTTCTCTATATTGTTTTGGAGGCTGTCGGTCCAGCCCGGCCTCGAACTCACAGAGATCCGCCTGCCTCTGCCTCCCGAGTGCTGGGATTAAAGGCGTGCGCCACCACCGCCCGGCTGGGTTACATTTTAAAACAATTCTTTTCTCCTAAAAACATACTTTATGATGTCACACACCATCATCTGAGCAGGTGGTCGGGGTTCAGGTGCACAAATGAAACACATGGGCCATGACTGGTAATGACAGAAGTCTTCACAGGTCCCTTTCACGGTTTATGTGTCTGTGTTTGCACACAAGCACATGGGTGCAGGTGCCAGAGGCCAGGAGAGGTGATAGAACCCTGGAGACAGAATTACAGGCGGCTGTGGGCTAGCTGGTGCGGAGGCTGAGAACCAGAGCAGCGTGAGCTCTTAACCACTGGCCGCTGGACTCGTAACATTTTCTTAGTGTTCACTTCTAAAACTGTATGTCTTTTTATGTGTGGGCTACCTGCATGTATGTAAGTGAACATGTGAGACCCCGAAGAGGGCTCCATGGAACCAGTGTTAGGCAGTTGTGAGCCACCACGTTGATGCCGGGAACTGAACTCAGACCTTCTAGAAGAGCAAGCAGTGCTCTGAGTGTCGAGCCATCTCCCCAGCTCTATTCTTTCATTTCCTTCGTTTTGGATTTTTGGAGGAGGGATGGAAGTCGTGGCCCCTGCACATTTGAAGCAAGTCATCTATCAATGAACTACATTCCTAGCCTTATTGTGAACCATAAAATATTACATAGGAAAAGCACACTACCTTAAACAACCTCAACCAGTGCTAGGCCCAGACGCCCAGTGAGACCACCTGGACAGAACTTAACAATGTCAGAAGAAAGCAAAAGGCTCCGATGTTTTGGTTTCTACCACTAAAGTGGTTAACGGCTGTGTTGAACTGTACCACACCAAAACTGTTCTCTTGCAAAGCTCAGAGACAGACAGTTGTGTGTGGTGGTGCACACCTGTCACCCCAGAACTTTCAAGATTGAGGAAGGAGAATCCCCAATTGGAGGCCAGCCTTGGTAACTGACAGTGCCTCACAAATACAGCTTGGGAGCAAAGTGCCTTCCCAAGACGTGCTGCAGTTACCATCGCGAGTATTATTTGGAGTAGTTTCTCTCAAAACCCGACTTGAGCAGAAGCAAACCACCAAAAAGGCAGGCTATCTTTTAAAGTCTGTACTCCCAAACACGGCAGAAGCCGGCCCTTCAGCCAGGAGGCCATCTGAAAAGCAGCAGAGACGGCACTTCCATGCCAACAGTTTCCACACACCACCCGCCATCCACACATACCTATTCCAGTAGCCAGAATTATTATCGAAATCCTGAGGCACAATATTAGAAAGGTAAAAGGTTTCCGCCATGGCTTTCTGTGAAAGGAATTAAAACAGCGCGTTATTCTAGCATGCTCTCCCTCCTGAGCCCCACAAGCAGATGCGGCAGCTCTGACAGCTGGTGCCTGCAGGACTACTCATCAGTGCTGCCCCCACCTACACCCCCAACCCACTCCTACTTACTTAAACAAAGACATACGCATTCCAAGACAGAAACCTGTCCTTATGCAAAAGAACCACCCCAGGGCCAGTGAGATTGCTCAGCAGGCAAAGCGCTTGCCTCACCAGCTTCTCACCCTAATTAGGTGCCCAGAGCTGGCAGGAGGGTGAAAGGAAGAATGCACAAAGCTGCGCTCCGGTCTCCACACACAATCCATGCACACGCACAGACACACACAATCCATGCACACGCACAGACACACACAATCCATGCACACGCACAGACACACACAATCCATGCACACGCACAGACACACACAATCCATGCACACGCACAGACACACACAATCCATGCACACGCACAGACACACACAATCCATGCACACGCACAGACACACACAATCCATGCACACGCACAGACACACACAATCCATGCACACGCACAGACACACACAATCCATGCACACGCACAGACACACACAATCCATGCACACGCACAGACACACACAATCCATGCACACGCACAGACACACACAATCCATGCACACGCACAGACACACACAATCCATGCACACGCACAGACACACACAATCCATGCACACGCACAGACACATACAATCCATGCACACGCACAGACACACACAATCCATGCACACGCACAGACATATGCACATACAATCCATGCACACGCACAGACATATGCACATACAATCCATGCACACGCACAGACACACACAATCCATGCACACGCACAGACACACACAATCCATGCACAGGCACAGACACACACAATCCATGCACACGCACAGACACATACAATCCATGCACACGCACAGACACACACAATCCATGCACACGCACAGACACATACAATCCATGCACACGCACAGACATATGCACATACAATCCATGCACACGCACAGACACACACAATCCATGCACACGCACAGACACACACAATCCATGCACACGCACAGACACACACACAATCCATGCACACGCACAGACACACACAATCCATGCACACGCACAGACACACACAATCCATGCACACGCACAGACATATGCACATACAATCCATGCACACGCACAGACACACACAATCCATGCACACGCACAGACACACACAATCCATGCACACGCACAGACACACACAATCCATGCACACGCACAGACACACACAATCCATGCACACGCACAGACACACACAATCCATGCACACGCACAGACACACACAATCCATGCACACGCACAGACACACACAATCCATGCACACGCACAGACATATGCACATACAATCCATGCACACGCACAGACACATACAATCCATGCACACACACAGACACACACAATCCATGCACACGCACAGACACACACAATCCATGCACACGCACAGACACACACAATCCATGCACACGCACAGACACACACAATCCATGCACACGCACAGACATATGCACATACAATCCATGCACAGGCACAGGCACAGACACACACAATCCATGCACACGCACAGACACATGCACACACAATCCATGCACACGCACAGACACACACAATCCATGCACAGGCACAGACACACACAATCCATGCACAGGCACAGACACACACAATCCATGCACACGCACAGACACACACAATCCATGCACACGCACAGACACACACAATCCATGCACAGGCACAGACACACACAATCCATGCACACGCACAGACATATGCACATACAATCCATGCACACGCACAGACATATGCACATACAATCCATGCACACGCACAGACACACACAATCCATGCACATGCACAGACATATGCGCAAAGTAAGTTTAATTATAAAAAAGACTAGCCGGGCATTGGTGGTACACGCCTTTAATCCCAGCACTCGGGAGGCAGAGGCAGGCGGATCTCTGTGAGTTCGAGGCTGGGCTAGACTGACAGCCTCCAAAACAATACAGAGAAACCCTGTCTCGTAAAACCAAAAAAAAAAAAAAAAAAAAAAAAAAAACAGATTAACCCTGCCTCAAAAAGACACAATTCATGAATAAATTTTTAAAAAGACTATAAGCTGGTACATTCCTATCTTCCCAGAGTTTCAGACGTGAAAACAGGGATCAGGAACTCCAGGTCATCCTAAGCTATATAATGGGCTCTAGGACAGCCTGTACCACATGAGATTGTCTCCAATAGTAATAAGAAGGAGAACTATACTGTAAGCCGTTCAGTGTGTCTGGCTTTTCTTACCATTTTATAATAAGCTCCAAGGACTAAAAGTCTCCAAAGAAAGTGTGAGAATGCATTCGAATTGGCTTTAAGCCCCTGGAGAAAAGGTCAACTTTCAGGAATTTTATTTAAGAGGTGTGAAAAAAAAGCAACAACAAAACATTTAGTTCAGAGGTGGCAGAGAAAACATCTTTTTCTCCCAGTTTCCAGCCACCATAAATTCACTCCCATGGCATGTCTGGTCAACATCACAAAACTCTGCTTCAATGACCGTAGCCACAGCTACCCCGACACCCAGCTCTTCAAGGGCGGTTCTCAGCGTGGCAGCCACTGGATCAGACGGAATGCCACTTTGTCAACTTTTCTACAGTTCTCAAACTTTTCAAACTAGAATGAGTTAGGGACAGGGGTGTAGCCCAGTGGTAAATGTCTGTTTAACATGCACGAGCTAAAATTAAAACTAAAGAAACGAGTAGCTTGATCTCCTAGTGGCTTTTCAATTCCCTTTACATTTAGAATTTAATTTTCAGAGGCAAGAGACAGACAGACAGAGTGACAGACAGACAGAGAGACAGACATTCTCAAGCTTTACGGTTTGGTTCCTAGATCACCAGCCACGCACCCTCATCCTCTCAAAAGTATGCGTACACTGGAAAACTTGTTATTTCCTGCTGGGGCCATGTGTCCTCGCGACCAGCCACTTCCAATGTAGTCCTCATTGAGGGCACTGAAGGCAGAAGGGACACTGGGGTCAGGCTTGAATTTACAATGTTTTCTGTCCGCGTCACCTGAAGAAAAACATACAAAATGGTTACGGACGGCTCCCCTAGGGCAAGCAAGTCGGCTAGTGTGAGCAGGTATCACTGTGAGTAGCTGTTGTCAGGGACCACAGACACGTCTCCAGTTCCTAACATAGTTCAGATAGTTCATCTGAGTCAGGCTTGGTCTAGGGCAGGATGCTTCTCGTTGAGTGAAGTTTCCTAACACTCTGACTCTCACCTTTCCAGTTAAAAGAAAAGCACACTGGACAGAGCTCCAGTGAGAACAAGGAGACAGAGAACGTCCCCACTAAATCAAGTGTGAAAGTGCCAGCGTGTAACTCACAGCGCTTCCGACAGCATGTTCAAGACCTGCCCAGGATCAAACCGGACCAAATCCCAACAGAGCGGGGAAACGGAGTCACAAAGTCCCTCTTTTCACTGAAGAGCCACTGGCCCTGAGGGGTTACCCATGCCCCAATACAAGATCCGACACCCTGACACATACTGACAGCACTAAGTGGACCTGGGGCGGGGCGTGGGAGGGTCTTAAAAAAAAAAAACAGAGAAACACCTGAACTAGCTGAACTAGGAAGGAATAAAGGTAAAGGGGATAGGGAAGAAATTGAAGGAGAGGGAATAGGGGGTAGACTTGATCAAAACCCATTATATGCATAAGTTCCCCAATAATTAAAAATAGACCCTGTGTGCAAGTCAAAGGACAACTCTGTGCAGAGTCGGTTCTCTCCTACTCTCATGTAGGCTCTGAGACTCAGGTCAGCCTTGTGCATCGGTTCCTCACAAGCTGAGCTTCCTGCCAGCCCCGGCACACGTTTTAAAGTGAAGAGAAATAATGTACAGACCTTACGTTCAATGGTAAATCACAAAATAGGAACAAAACTACTAAGTGGGATGTGGTTGGGCATCCTTGTAATTCCAGTACTTAGAAGGCAGATGTAAGAGAACAGGAGTCCAAGGTTATCCTTAGCTAGATAGATTGATAACCCGAGGCTAGCCTGGTCTACATGTCTGAAAAAAAAAACTATAGCAAAATATGTGTGGGGTGTGTGTGTGTGTGTGTGTGTGTGTGTGTTACCTTTAAGACAGAAAGGAGTTACTGTACCATCAATTTATTTTAGTTTTTTTTTTTTGAGGCAGGGTCTCATAGTATAGCCCTAACTGGCTGAGAACTTCTTTTTATAGAGGCTGACCTTGAATTCCCTGTCTCTCCTAAAATTAAAAAGGTGTGCACCACCACACCCAGCAACACAATTTTAAAAAGACTACCCAAACCACGTGTGGTATCATGCACCTTCAATTCCAGCATTCAGGAGGGAGAATGTAGGTCTCTAGGAGTTTAAGGCCAGCCAGGGACACATAAGACCCTATCATGGAAAAATAAAAATAAAACCATCAAAACTTATAGAGGAAGAATAGTCCACAAAATAACATCTCTCACTGACAATAAATACAGTAAAGTCAGCTATTAGACTGGGAAAGCTTAACAACACTCATCACAGGTGAAGGCTGGGACCGGACACTCAATAATGACCAAGTAAACTGAGGTAAATGGACTCAGAAACCAATTTGACATTCATTATCAAGAGCTGGTGATGTTAATCAAAGAACCTTCCAAGCCATGGAGGACACACGAACAGACGTCACAACCGGCAGCCCCCAGCCTCATCCCACAGCACGGCTGCGGCACTCTGACCCTTCCACACCAGGAAAACACGGCGGTTTCCTTCTGCCAAGAACGCTCTTCTCCAATCCCGAGGCCCACCTGGCCCATGGCTAGGTAACTCCTACCTACTCTTCAGTCCACTGTCACAGAAGCAAAAGCACCTCCTGGGACACCTCCAGCACACCCTGCAACATTCCTTAGTGACACCATCCTGACCAGCAACCAATTCTTTCAGAAAGGTGGCTAGTGATCTTTATCACGGGCTCATAATTATTTGACAGGTCAAACTGACTCCCCAGTTAAAATGCCACAAAACTCTGGGAGGTAATGGTGCACACTCGGAAGGCAGGCAGTTCTCTGAGTTCGAGGCCAGCCTGGTCTACAGGGTGAGTTCCAGGACAGCCAGGGCTGTTACGCAGAGAAACCCCATCTCGAATAATAAATAAATAATAAAAGGATTAGGTGAATAAAATACCACAGGACTACAGACCATCTACCGCAGTCCCGGCTGCATCCGCACAGCTCTGCAGCGCTGTGCAAGCACACTTAGCGGGTGTTTATCAAGAAGACCTGCTGAGGTAAAGACCACACTCGCTGCATCCATCTTTATGATGGAGCCTTGACACTTAAGTGCTGAAATACAGATGTTCTCAGCCCTGGAACAGCTGGGAAGGGTCTTGGGGTTCCTCGGATACTAAGCTTGATCCATTTAGTCACTATTTTCGGTGTGTGCTGCGAGGTGCGGAGGTTGGGAATATTACCAGCAATCCCCTTGTTCTAAACTTGGGAACTCTCTCATGTGGGCACCTGCACTTTGTTCCGACCACCTACCTATGATCTTGTCCTTGGATATGTGTTCAAGGACCCATCTGGGCACCCGCTTCTCCTGATCGTAAGACAAGGCATGATTAGTGTAAAGTCTGGTCTCCATCCCAGCTAAAGGAAATCCAAATTGTTCCAAGGCAACTTTTTCTGCAGGTTCTAAGAAAGAAAAAGAAAAGAAAAGAAAGCAAGTAATTAGTGATCTTTAATGAGAACAAAGGACTACAAGGACAACAGTGATATCTAAAAGTGTATGGCTCAAAGGTCTCACCAGGGAGTGATTCTCAGTGCTGGGGATCACAAGGGTCTGATCAAACAGACCCCACCTTTGCAATTGTTAAGTCAAAGGAAGCAGCTTAGCAAAACCCTCCGCTGCCTACGCTGTGTATTTACAACAAGCTTCAATTCTAGGGGGTGTGATTGATTTGGCGCTGGGGAATGGAACTCAGGGTCTCACTCATGCTAGGCAAGAATTCCAATAGGGCCACATTCCCAGTCCCTCTACTTTTGACTCTGAAACAGTCTCAAAGCCAACTGCGCACTCACTCTGTGGCCCAGGCAGGCCACCTACCTCCGCCTACCCCACTCAGTGATAACTTTTAAATAAAGGTCCGGCAGGGGGCGTGCAGGGACAGACCTGTGGGTGTACTAGACGCCCCTAGCTTCAACTCCTGGTTCCAAAAAGAAATAAGGATCCGATTTCGGCAGTTTTCCAAATCTGTCTGCACCTCAGACTATAAGGAGATCTCAAAGGAAAAACTAGTCATCGGAAAAACTGGATGGGAAAGGGTCTCCATACTTAAGGAGACCAAAAAAAAAAATGGCCATCATTTTAGTTTTTCATCAGCATGGTATTTCATCTGCCAGGCTTAGTATTCACTTTAGTTTTTTCTAAAGACCACAGCGCCATGAGTGGGGCGCACACACCCGTTACTCCAACAAGTTTGATGCCTGGCTGGGTCACGATGAGAAAGAATGGACCCAAGCCACCCCTCATTCACTGACGCTTCCCCCAGCGTCTTAGCACAAGGGTAGGCTGGCAGGTGGGCTGCAGGAAAGCAAGCCCGTGGGGTGGGGTGGGGTGGGGTGGGGTGGGGTGGGAGCCCCAGCTACGTATGAGCGGGGCCGCTCCCTGGCTGGGACTCCCACCCTGCAGCCTGGAGGAGAACCGGGGAGCCCCGCCGGGCGGCAGCTCGCACGCCTCCCCGTTCCCCGGTTGCGGAAGCCACGTGGCCAGCTGCCCTCCCTTAAGCTGCCGTCGTCGGGTACTCCGCCGCAGTTTTCGCCACAGCAACAGGAGGGGAAACTGAGGCACTTACTGAAGGCCGGCTCCGGACCAGGCACCGGGCAGCACGGTCTCGGGAACCCGCAGACTCACCGTGCGGCTCCGGCTCCGTCGCGTCCCGACGCCGGAGGAACTGCAGCGCCGTCAGCCCCGCTCCCGCGGCGCCCACCACGGCCCCGGCCAAGAAGCCGTTCAGAAACCGCCGCGAGGCCCCGAAGCGGGACGCCAAGCTCTTGCTAGCCATTGCTCCCGGGGGACGCCAGCAGCGCGTTGGCTCTGCCGCGCACGCGCACCCCGGGGTCCGAAGCCGGAACGGCCCGATCGCAAGCCCGGGAACGAGGCGCGCACGCGCGGTCTGGAGCCGCCGCCCGGAGGCCTTCGCGGCTCCGGGCCTCGTGCGCCCCCTGCTGACCAGCTGGAGCAGGTGCGCCGGCCTCCATCCCTGGTCCAGGCCAGGTGATGGATGGGTTGATGAAAGCCTCATGACTTGCTGGGTTTGGCGGTGTGCTTATGCTGTCCTCGGGAGAAAATACCGGTAGTCTCCTCCTTTAATGGTGAGTAGATGAGTCCTCATGATCCAACTCGGGGTGATTCCAAAACCTGTGCCGCATTGCAACACCTGGCTTCCAGTCAAAATGCACATACAACTCCTAAAACTGCGCGTTCGTGCCTCCTGCTATCGAGTTTCTTGGCAAAACAGGGCTCCACGGTAACCTGATACTCGGATGAGCCTGAGCTCAGAAGCGTAAATCCCTGACAGGTGTGCCACTCCTTCATGTCTCCTCTTTATCTAGCAAGGGTGCTTGCGACCAGCACTGACGGCCTGAGTTCAATCCCTGGAACCCACTAGATGGAAGGAGAGAACGGACTCCTGAAAGCGGTCCTCTACTGCCATAGGTGTACATTTCCTCCTACATCCACAGGTATGCACAGACATAAAAAATAAACGTGATGAGATTGCAATCCAAGCACTAAGGAGGCTGAGGAAGGAATGTCTGAGTTCAAGGCCAGCCCAGGCTACATAGTGAGTTCCAAACGAATCTCAGCTACATAGCAAGATCTCTCTCAAAAAAAAAGAAGCAAAAATCATCATCATCATCATCATCATCTCAGACAATAGGGGCTCATCTCAGGACTAAGAAGGTAACATGTAAGACGCATACCCTCAAGTACACTGTAAATGTTAGCCACTTTTATGGTACACTCTACTTGGTCTTAGAATATAAAACTGGTTGGTGGGGCCTGGAGAGATGGCACAGTGGTTAAGAGCACTGGCTGCTCTTCCAGAGGACCCAGGTTCAATTCCCAGCACCCACATGGCAGCTCACAACTGTCTGAAACTCCTGTTCCAGGGGATCCAACACCCTCACACAGACATAGATGCAGGCAAAACACCAACAGAACATAAGATACAAATAAATAAATGTTTAAAACCTGATTGGTGAATTACCTTATACATTATTGAAAGGGGGCCATACAATGTAGCAACGGCCCAAGATTCCTGCCGGAAGATGTCCAGATTAACTGCACCATACTTAAGTAGGCTAGCAAGAAGACTCTTTATTGAACTCCAAAACAGGCTTTTATACCACAGCACCAGATCAGGGAGAAAGGGAGGAGGCAGGGGCAGTGTCCTGCCTCATCAGGGTTCAGGGAGCTGCCAGGCTGTTCCAGGGGCCCTTCCCCTGTTCCGGGAATGGAAGGAACAGCCCATTCGTAGTCAACATGTTTTTCTCTGCGGTTACTGCTGCCAGATGGCTTCTTGCCTCAGGGAAATAGGCTTTTTCATCAGGGTCATGTTCCCACAATTCCCCCTTTTTATTTTATATGAGGGGCCCTGTCTTAGGTCGCATAGAGAACGCCTTCCCTTATCCATCATGGGTTTCCTGTCTTAGGTGGGAGACGTCTCCATGAGTTGCCTGTCATTGGTACCCCTCGCTTCTGGAGCATCTGTAACCAGACCCCATGGCTTCTGGAAGCACCATAAGCCAAACTGAGTAACTTGCCGATGGACTTGCTCCCTGCGGGAGAAGACTTGCGGGAGCCTGTACAAGGCGAGGACTTCAATCCCGGCCACAACCAGCCCCAAGATCCCCAGAGACAATGCGCCACCCCAACACTGTACCAACCCCCGATCTGGGCCATAGCATTCCACCAGCCTTCAGCAGAAACAGGGTCTACCCTAGTCTGATTTATCATTACAATTTGGTGAGCCAAAGTATTGGTGACACTTACAAAAGTATCATTCCAAGGTCCCGCCAAGAACTTATTTAGGCGGGACACTTCAGCAGAAACATCATGGACCTCAAGCAAGGTAACATAAGCAGAATGATAAAAATGAGAACAGGAGGCTTGCTGAACCAACCATCAAACATTAATCTGTTCTTGGAGTAGGGCAGTCTGTTGATTTAGATTAAGAATTCCACATTGAATGTGAGAGTTCAGAGTATCTTGCATGGCCAGGGCCTCGCTGACTCTGCCAGCTAGGAGATTGACGGTATCTGCATTGGCAGCGGATTGAGCAACAGCAATTCCGGCAATGGTGGCAGCGGTCGCTGAGATAGCAGTAGCAGCAATAACTGCTGCAGTAATGCTGAAGTCCCTCCGCTGTCTGCAGAGGATAAGTTCCTGTCCCGAATGATGATCCTCAACCACTAGGGGCACGAGAGCCGGAATTCTGACTACCAGCCTGCTGGAAACCGTCGGGAGCCAGCAGTTGGACAGGGAACAATTTTGGCATCAATATTGGGGGATTCCTCACCAGTGTCCATACCGTTCGTCCCTCCGTGGATCGCTGTTGGAGAAGGGATATCAGGATCAGTGTCCACAGCACGATCATATCAATCCAGTACTCAAATGGGTTTCTCTTTCCCTGAAGGAAAAACACAGACAGCCCCTCGAACCCTAGCTAACAGAGGGGTAGGGGACTGCCAAAATCCTGTAATTAAATCCTTCCATCTGACCCATCCCAACATTTGGGAAGGTTTATTCCAATGCCTTTCCATGGCTGACAAATTATTTTATCTATAATCAAAAAATTTTAAATATATAATATGGTAGATAATTGGGCATTGGGGGAGGGCTTATAATCCCCCTTTCTTTATTTTATAAAAATATTGTTTAAGGGTAGCATGAGTTCGCTCCACAGTGGCTTGTCCCGTAGAATTATGTGGAATGCCAAAGGAAGGATTAATTTGATACTCTTTACAAAAGGCTGCAAAGCAATGACTAGCATACACAGACCCATTATCTGTTTTTAAAATGTCAGGAACACCCATACAGGCAAAAGCCTGCAGGCAATGGGAAATAATATCCTTAATTCTTTCTCCTGAATGTAGGGATGCAAAACCCACCTTGGAATATGTATCCACTGAAACATGCATATATTTCAGTTTTCCTCCCTGAGGGAGATGGGTGACAAGATTATTAGCCTTTAGTCCTCGGGGATTCACTCACTCATTAGGGGAATTATGATAAGGGGCACAGTCTGGACATTGGGAGGTGATCTGAGTGGCAACAGGAAATGGGCAATTAGCATGAAATTTATGAGAACGAGCATTTAAATGACACCGCTCGTGAAGCTGGTGAGCATGCTGTTCTTCTGTAAACATAACCATTGGGGATCTAGTTAAAGAATCTGCAATCTGATTTCCTTAGGCAAGGGGCCCCGGAAGCCCAGTATGTATACCACAAAGGCAGGATCTCTCTTCATTGCCGAATGAGGTGCTGAAGCCTAACTAAGAGGGAGCGAACCTGAGAAGTGGGAAGAATATATGGAGAAGTCTCCATCAGCTTTACAATGTTGGCAACATAAATGCTATCAGTATACAAATTAAAAGGCTCCCCCCAGAACAGCTGAAAGACCAACAAACATGCAACCAACTCAGCAGCCTGAGCAGACATCTACCCCGTAGGTACTCTCCTCTGCATCCGCTCAGAGACTACCACAGCAGAACCTTTAGAGGAGCCATTGGTGAATACCAGGCGTGCTCCTTCGAGGGAGGCCATCTTTATAATCCTAGGAAACAGTACAGGATGTTGCTTTAAAAAGGATAGCAATGGATGATTTGGGGAATGGCTATCAAATTCGGCCCCTGTAGTGGTAATAAAAAGTGTCCACCCATCATGAGAGGCCAGTAAGTTTTCGATCTCTTCCTTACCATATGGAAGGATAATTTAATTGGGGCCTTTTCCAAAGGTCTGAATGCTAAACTAATACGCCTTCCATAACAATTGTAACACCAAATCATAATAGGGGGACACCACCTTCCTAGGAGAGGCTGACAGGTGAATCCGATATATAGGACCCTCCTGCCAGAAAACAGCAGTCGGAAAAAAGGCTGAAGAAAGCACTATAACAAAAAGAGGGTGTCCATAATCAATACAGCAAAGGCGGCCCTCTGTATGCTCTGCATTAACAATTGGAGAGCCCCTTTTGCTTCTGGAGTAACTTGTCTGGGAGAGGTTGGAGCCGGATCTCCCAGGAGGATGTCATATACAGGCCTAAGCTCCCCTGTGTTGATGGCAAGGGAGGGGCAGATCCATTGGACATCCCCCAGGAACCTTTGCCAATTGTGGAGAGCCTTTAAATTCTAGTAATCAATTTGGAGCTTTGAGAGTGGAGGCCAGTCTGTTGTATTTGATGGCCTAAGTAAGTATAAGGAGGCATTTTTTGAATTTTCTCTGGGGCCAAGACAAGTCCACGGGCCTCCAGGAGCTCCTTCAACATAGCAAACGCCTCAAAACATCCCCCTCGGCAGGCGCTGCCAATAAAATATCATCCATATGGTGAAAAACATAAAGGTCAGAATACTTGCATCTAAGGGGATCTAGGCAAGCGGCTACATAAGTACAACGTTGGACTTATGACATAAGCTATTCCTTGGGGGAGCACCATGCACTGGAAATGGAGGGCAGGCTCCCAGAAATTAATTGAAGGGAGAGTAAAGGCAAATCTGGGGCTATCAAGGGGGTGTAACGGGATAGAGAAGAAACAATCCTTAATATCAATGACAATCAAGTGCCAATCCTTAGGAATAGCCACGGGTGTGGGTAACCCGGGCTGGAGGGCTCCCATAGGCTGCATCACAGCATTAATGGCCCTTAAGTCTTGGAGCAGCCTCCATTTTCCTGAGGCCTTTTTATTACAAAAATGGGGGTATTCCATGGAGAGGTGGAGGGGATCACATTACCTGCCTCCAGTTGTTCTTGCACCAATTGGTGGGCCACCTGGAGCTTTTCCCTAGGTAATGGCCACTGTTCCACCCACATCAGCTCCTCACGGAGCCAGGTGATGGGTATGGGGGCCGGCAGCGCAACAGTGACCCTCATTA